AAAAACTTTATTGATCAGCTTGTTTGTAAAGAGGTTAAAACTGAGTCTTAGAGTATTGTTTATATAGATATCTATTGTATTCGAAGTATGTGTATATATGTGTTTATTGTTATATTTTGATTTAAGAGATAAATAATGCTGACTTGTTTGGTATACGTGATGTTGATCATTTGGAGGGGATAAGCTAAAATGCTCATTTTTTACAAAAATTTCTTTGAAAAAAAGTGGTGGGCCAATAAGAGTATGTAAGATTCTTATTGTAAATTTTATAGTTGTATAATTTAACTTCTTTATTTCTATTAACTTAGGAGTGTATATTAGCTATTTTTACAGACTTGTTTTCAAAATAACTCTTTTGGTTTGAATGTCGAATACTTTGGAGAGTCTGTCAAAGAAGAAAAAACTTAACCCCAAAAAAAACTATCTGTTTTTTTGATGCCTACACTTTAGTATTTCACATCTAGATGCTTAGACTTTGTTAACAACAAGCTGCTCCTATTTATAAGACCAAGTTTAGTATCTACTTCATTGCTTTTTTATATGTTTTGCTGTAGTTCAATTTCTGTTGTTGTTGATTAGAGAATCATTAGAAAAAGTTGTCTATTATTATATTTTAATATTTTAATATACTATTAATTGATTTTTATATATAAGTTAAATATATAAATAATCAAATAATATAAAATTTTATTTAGCTTTTTTTTTTTTTTTTTTTTTAATTTTGCTGTATACATAATAAGATAAGTTACAAATTTATATCAAGATGATAATAATAATTCTAACTATCTATTGTATCTTGTATAACCACCTAAGTATAACAAAACATCTCTTAATTTTCTGTTTATAAACTAATTTAAGTCTAGCTACCATTAGTTATAGAAGGGAAAGAGGAGCCCAATTTATTTAGCTTTTAAAATCATATTATATATATTATTTTATATTATGTGATTATATAAAAAAATTTTACTTATCACCTCTTTATATAATTACCAAAAAGTGGTAAATAAATAGAGTGATTATATGAGAGAATAACTGTATTAACTATTAATAAAAATTTTTGATAATAAGATAAAATTATATTAAATAGATTAACAATAATGATCAAAGTAAAGTTGCTTAAAAAACAAAATTATATATTTTAAAATTTTAAATAATTTAAATAAAAAAACTAATTTACAACTAGATATTTAAAATACTATACAATATTTGTATAATATGTAAATCAAAATAATTTTATCAAAATAAATAAATAAAAATAATTTAGATAATATTAAAGTTAATATTAGGAACTAATTCTGAAGCAAATTATAGTTTATACTAAAATTTTGCAAAGATTTTTTCTTAAAACCCCAAAGATAATTTTATATACAAACTTTGAAACATTATTATTTTGTTGTTTTTTGTTGCACAAAAAATGATCTGCAAATAATCTACAATATACATATTAAGGTAACCTCTTGGCAGGGTTGGCAATGGAGCCAATGAAGCTCAATGGTTATGCGAATGAAGCTCAAAAAACTAGTATCCATTGGCTCCATTCAGAGCTCCATTGGTTCCATTTGCAGCTCTATTGGGCTCCATTGAACTCCATTGCCAACCCTGCCTCTTGGTTATATTTTTTATTTGATTATAGTTTAACTTTTACAGTATAGTATACACCATACTATATACATATTTGAAGAGTACAACTAGCCACATGTACGACTTTTTGGTTGCTTCTACAATTTATATTTAAGTTAAAAAATTTTTAATTTTTTAATTTTCTTCACCTAAATATAAATTGTAAAAGTATAATAATAAAATTTTATCTTCTAAACAATATGGCTTAGGTTGATATTTATGTGGATCACCTGTATTAATTTATTTAGTACGTATAATTTTGAATTTTTATACAACAATAATAATCAGTTATTTATAACGATAATAAACAATTTTTAAAAACTTATATTTATTAAAATCTCTATATAATCAACTATATTTTATATATATAATATTCTATAACATAATCATCAATTTTTGTATCCCGAAGGTGTGATTATATAGAGGATAGACTGTACTTTTCTATTAAAAATCTAATACTAAATTCTAACTAAAAATGCATTTCAAATAATTTCACTACATGTAAATTTTAAATTAAATAAGGCAAACTTTCATTTTAATTTGCCATATATTATACGTATTGCCATTTTAAAAGAGGAACGAATTAAAGGCTAACAGAAAAACTTTTTGATCGATCAAAATTTATGATCGAATAGTCATGATTATTAACATTCTTGATCACTATAACAATAAATTAAAAACCCTTAGTTATTAAAAACCTAGATCTAATAATCTGATTCCCCTAACGCTTGCAACTTTATCTAAAATTTCATGATCTTTTGCGTCAGAAAACTCTTCAAAATCATTGATCAAATTTCCACTTTGACTAATACTTCCCGTTTTGGCTCTTAAAGCGTTAACCACGCTATCTTCATCCATTTCCAAGACTTTAATAGTTTTTATAATTTCCCTTGTAGGTTCAATTTCTAAGGCGCTCAAAACATTCGTTAAATATCCAAGATCCGTTAACAACTGTTGAGTACCATGTGAAGATAATTGAGATATCATAAGAATCCGTTCGAATAATGCGTGCATTGTTCCTCTAGCGACGGAAGTTATCCACGCATGTGTTACTTCTTCAGTTGAAATGTCCTCAGTTGTGGGCTGGGGTTGTTGAATGATAGAAGAATCAATAGATATCTATATAAACAATACTCTAAGACTCAGTTTTAACCTCTTTACAAACAAGCTGATCAATAAAGTTTTT